AGAATTGAACACATTGTAGAAATTGAAGGTAAAGGCAGTACCAGTTGTTATCGGAGCACTAGAAACAGGCTAGGAAAAGTACTAGAAAAGACAGATATTAAAGAAACAATTGTAACCAGATAGATGACACAATGTTACTGAAAACTGAACAGAATACTGAGAAGACTGTTGCAGTAGTGAGTGAACTTACTGTCATTTAATCTCCAGTGTGGAACTTTCAATGAAATAATAATAATAATAATAATAATAATAACAAGAAGAAGAAAAAGAAGAAGAAGAAGAAGAAAAGAAAAAAGTAATAGTAATGTAGTAGTAGTAGTAGTATTCCATGCATTTGCATGACCAGCTGTCAAGTGTTCACCATTGGAGACTGAGTGACAACAAGCCCTCTCAAGTCTTCAACACTTAGGTTTTGTATTCGAAATATTCTCACAATCACGATAATATGAAAATATTTCCATTTTGTTTTCTCTTTGTAATTGCCATTTACCTTGATCTAAATTTAACTGTCTTTCGCATCGTTATTACAGACAGTTCAGTTGAAAAATCGTTTAAGTTATTTTCAGTAATTCAATACAAACAAGGAGAGCAAGGTGAAGGTTATATCGACAATTATCCAAGATGGAAGATGTTTACTTAAAGGTTTTCTGTCGATTGACTAAACTTCAATATAGATATACCGTTAATAATCTACTTACTACTTAAAACTGCTTTCAATGGTTGCGTGTTTATTTGTCGATGTTTTAATTGAGGAAATGACTTGAAGTGTGAAAATTTCAATATAAAATGCGAGAGGTCATTCATTTTAAATAATTACTCTTCTATTTCCAAAACAGGTGTTTAATGTAACATATATGTTCATCTCTTACGCTAAATCTAACTAAATGACCAAAACAAAACAAAAATAAAATAAAAAAATAATGAGCAAGTCTTTCAAAATTGCCTCGCTTATTAACCTAGATATAAACCTTTCTAAATATGTCCAGTAGACCCGGATCTATATTTGTAAGTTTATACGTTATAATATAAATAATTTCTATAATAATCTGTAAAAAGCTAATGCCTAAATATCACAAATTTTTCGGAGGGTTCTGTGTTCGGAGAAAGATTCTTTTTAGCACTTCTTTGGATTAAATATCTATCTCCGATAGTGATGTGTTATATTTTATTATACTGACCCATTAATATCATAACATCATTTTGCATTGTTACCGATGGAGGTTTACAAAATGCTGTCTGACATCAGTGACCTGAAAGTAAAGTGTGTCATACGGAAGAAAATGGCACTCCATTTATATTTAACGATGCTGACTAAACATTAACGTAGACCAAATAAGGAATGTAAGCATAAGCGATGGGTAATGCGGTCTGTAGAATCGATAGCGATGTGGGTGAATTTATTTCATCGCTATAGCTTATAGTGACGACTATATGGGAAAAGTGTTTTGTAGAAGGAAAAAAAAGCATGCTATCCCATAGTGCTATTGTGCTCCCAGTATTTGTTGTAGTTTCTTTGGAAACAAATAGGATGCATTACTTTCGGAAAGTCACTGGTGTCTATCGGTGTATCAGTCTTTGTCTGTGTATACCTAGAAACTCCCGTACGCGCATGCGCCTTTGAAAATTGATATGGAGATAACTACAGAAATTAAGAAAAATAAAAGAGTATTGCTACACTAAAATTTCTTTTCTAAATCTATCAAGTCACTTCATCATAAATCAATATTTTGATTTATAAGCGTTTCGTATTAAAATTAAAAAGTCGATTACTGGAAATATTAACAAGGTTTTCTAGTGATTTAATAATTTTAGCTACAAGATCTGCTGTTAATGAAATGTCTTGAATTCCATTTGCTCTTGTAAACATTCCTGAAACACTGAAGGAATTTCAAATTTCTGTACAATTGCGAAATAGGGTGACTAGACAAAATGTATATAATAATAAGGGTTAATAAGCGAAATTAAATTAATTTCAACTAAAAAGAAATCCGCTTAGTTCATCGATTTTATAATTTTCTTTTCATTTGGTTATTATCACGCAGCACCTAATTTCAACTTTTCATGAATTTTTTTGAACGTTACAAAAATCACCACCACAACGATCACAGTTAGAATAAGTTTGTCTTCGCAATTGACATCTGAGGATGGTCTCGGAGGAAATCGAACGTACCAGGGTTAACAAAACTACGACACCTTAATTGATGAATTTTAACTTAACATCAAGAAAAACTAGAAAGGGTTATTATAAAAATAAATAGACATAATATGTCTATATTATTCAATGAAACATGCATGTTTTACTGAAAATATGCTGCCTATATATATATATATATATATATATATATATATATATATATATATATATATATATATATATATATTGCATTGGAAATCAGTCAAATTATGTCTGTGTCATAACAGCGATACGATCTGAAATTTTCTTGTGAAAATTTTGTAGGAATTTTTATTAATTAATTGTATCATTGACTAAGAGATTTTGAAAATCGTTCAAGACAAATTTCTTGGCTTATTTTCCTGAATGCTGTAGCGAAACGGAATGAATGTAGAATTTATAATGATAAATAAAGAAAAAGAAACAATTAGAAAACTACTTTTAAAGCCAATAATGATAATCGAATTTTGTCAAGTTGTTTTAGTTAAATAATTAATGACTTCTATTATAATAATATTTCCATTCCTGGATATTTTTTTTTTACAATTAAATGTTTAGCCTAATTTTTTTTTTTTAAATCTCGTATGATATATATATTACAGCACGGATATATGACGGTCCGATCTATAAATTACAGTGGGGTAAAGTCGACCAAAAAAAAAAAAAAAGGAGTCGATTACCGAGATTTAATATACACCTGAAAAGCCGAAAACGCATTGGTCAAAATGTTGTGTTGCAAAACTCAAGCAAAATTAATCTGAAAATTACATGAAATAAAAATACGATATAATTTTAACAAAGTTCTAATTGATGTTACTTAAATAATTTCATTTTTTATATCTAACTCAATATGGTGTGTTTTATAAGAGAAATGTCAATTTACGATTATCTCCCTTTATCGATGGAGAGACAACATACAATTATTTTTGCCTTTGTCAATTAAAGAAAGAATGTCTTTATGTCGCCGATAATGTCAAAAAAGTAATATTCGCTAGATTTCCCGTTACAAACTTAAAAAAAGTTACGCATATACGTCTTATATACACTATACACGTGCAGTGATTTCAGATAAAACTCAATATTACCATGTATTATCAATTTGGTATAGATGGTAATAAAACTGAGGAGGACAAAAAGCGAATCAATTGAAAAGTAACAGAAACATTTTTTTTATATGAATATCCTTATTTTTATTCTTAAAATATTCTTTTATAAAAGTTCCTTTGAGAACTTTTCTATATGCAAGATCGACTGAAGGACAAAGCGCCGAAATAAAAAAAAAATGTCTTCATAGGAAATTATTTGCTAAACTATTTTATACAGTATTTTATTGATAATTACGGAAAGACGGGTTTTATGATTGTGTCATCGAATTAATTTTGAGAAAGGTTTCTGTCGGTTCGTACTGGTTTTATTATTTTTGTTTTAAATTACTAACTAGCAGCAGCGAGCTATTGTTATTGACTGAAATTGTCTAGTTCTTGAATGAAGTGGAGAAACGCGGTAAAATCGAAAAGATAAAAACTCGTTTACACGAACATACTCTTTTCAGCCTGGCGAGTTACAGTGGTATTTATCTGGCTGACTAAAGAAAACAGAAGATAAAGAAAAGGTTAGCAATCGATTAAATTCGTCAAGACCAAGACATTATACCGAATCTGACGTAATTCAGTGTAGCTGCGAGATACATATTGAGAAGTCTGTTTCATGCCGGAAAAATTGGTATTATCGTCCTTCAGCATCTCATGCAAAATGCAACTTACATTTCTTTTCTCTTTAATACTGTATTAGAGTTAACGCGGGAACTGTCATTAAATCTAATTCATATGAAATAAATGTCATTTGATAATTTACTACGAATGTGTCCTTATATTTGCTGACAAATTATGAGCAAATTTTTCACAGATAGAAAAATAAGAAAATAGGTAGGTTCAGCAGATATTAAAAAAACTTGTCTACCACCGAAAAAAAAAAAATCTTCTTTCTATATATATATATATATATATATATATGTGTGTGTGTGTGTGTGTGTAAAAAATATAAAATCGAAATGTTAGACTAACAGTGGGTAACTGAATGGAAAAACTTACCCCCCCAAAAAACAAATTCCAACGTTATGTTTGTCCCAAGCAGAAACTTATTCAGACGAATAATGGTTTAATATATAGGTAGTGAGAGAGAGAAAGAAAGAGAGAGATTGATATACGGGGTGTGAAGCGACAAAACAGATCATATATATATATATATATATATATATATATATATATATATATAAAGTTAAAATATATTCTAATTTCTAATCAATATTAATTTTAACAAATGTCCATATGTTTTTTTGCCGGATAGTAGGAAGGGTTTCAATATGAAATTATTTTAGATATTCGAATTTTTATGCAAATTATATTTTGTTTTAAAAATTTTAATTTACATATATTTTTATCTTAAGTATATTTTATTTACCTGAATAAGTTTTTAATGTTTAACTAAAAAAAAGAAATATTAAGATGCAGCCATTCTTAATACTGAGATAAAAACTAAATGAAACCCATTTAAGATTTCAGACTTTTCAAAATGGATTTGTAATTGCAAATTATATACGGTATCATTAACTCTCAGCATCTAATTATTATTACCCCTTAATTTCAACTTGTTTTGTTCAGCGTTAAATTCTACTACGGTCTTCATCTTGTATTCTGGTGAAGTCAGGTATATGTGCTCAGTTATGATGACAGAAATATTTACCAGTATTTAGTCAACCACTTCATATCAATCATACTGGATTTATAGATACCTATATAAATCTTGTCATTTATTCGCTTTCTCTCTG